TTGTGCAATGCCCGCAGAGGTCAGAAGAGGCTGTCGGATACCCTGGGACTGGAGTTATGAACAGTTGTTAGTTGCCATGTGGGTGCTGGGATTCAAACCTGGGTCTTCTGCAAGAACAGTCAGTGTTCTTAACCACTGAGCCATCTCTCCAGCTCTTATTTTAATTTATTTTTTAAAATTGTTTTTTTGTTGTTGTTGTTGTTGTTATCTGGCATATAGTTGGCAGTACTAAACCAAAGCCCTTTATTTGTCACAGTGGAGCCCAGCACATGTGAGTTCATCTGATCCTCTCAGGTCATCTTTCTTGGCCTTGGATCCTCAGTGACCCTGCAGGGTCAACCAAGATTCACAACTGTGGTTGTCTTTGCAACAAGAGTGTAAGAACAAGAGTGTCCATCACAGATGGTTGCCATGCTTTTTTAAATTTTAATAAAAGGAGCAAACCCGTGCTATGAGAGTCCTACTTTACTTTCAAGTCAGCTTCTGAATTGCTTCTGAATTGTTAGGCTTCCCAGAGAAAGCTAGTATGTGATGGGTTGGCAGAATGACTCATACATTCATGGAAGTTGAGAAAACCCTGAAATTCAAAGGTGAATCAGCAAGTCAGAGACACAAGAGAGCCAATGGTGCAGTTCCTGTCCCAGAACCAGCAAGTTCAAGACACAGGGAGACACAGAGTATGGTGCTCATACCTGTAAACCCAGCATTTAAGATGCTGAAACAGGGGGATGACTGTGAGTTCCAGGCCAGCCTGAACTAAAGTAAGACCCTGTCTTTAAAAAAAGACCCAGAAAAACTGACATTTCACATCTGAAAAAAAGCTGATGTCTCAGTATAAAGATCATCAAACAAGAGGACTTCTCTTACACAAGATACAGCTCTTTTGTTCTATTCAGTCTTTGATTGATGAGTTAAGGCCCATCTGTGGGGAATCAAGGCCATGAGGGCCTGTTTATGTTTAGACAACATGGCGCTGATATGGATTTCCAGCATGGGCCAAGACAGCTAATGCTAGACATCCAGAAGGGCTATGAGTCAGCACAAAATGGCTGACACTTGCTCTCTGGGAACCCCAAAAGTTAACAGTGATGTCATCTTGTATATAACAAGTTTTGGCAAGAAGCCACCTTTGTGAAATTCTCTATAAAAAGTCCTTGGGAGCAAGGACACTTGCTTTTGCACAGTGTACACCTGCTCAGCCTGAGCGCCCTTGCCCAGAGAAAATAAAGCCTGTTAAATTTGCCAGCCTCTTCATGAATTGTCTTTAACCTCCCAGCTTCATGTGACCCTCTGTTCCTGGCTTCTGAACTCGACTTTCACACCATCTCCATGAAGAAGGCCCATGTGCTGCACTCATCCAACCTACTGAAATGTTAATCTCATCCAAGGACCCTCATAGACATCTCCAAGTGTCTGGGGACCCTGAGGTCCAATCAGTAGAATTAGCCACGGCAAGTCCACGCTGCACTCGTACACATCTCAAACCAAACTTAATTTCCAAATAAAGACAATAATGATATTCTACCTCACATGACACAACTATTCTGCCTGCTACCATAAACCTAGCAGCCCCTTCCCCAGAAAAAGAGCTAAAATCTCAGAGTGATTTAAATCTTTTCCTTGACATTCCATAACTTAAATAGTATGATTTAATTGCATCTTTTGTTGCATGATAAGGTGATAAGAAAGGATAGAGCCTTGATAGTTGCTATAGAGCTGTGATATTTGTAATTGTATATTGATATCCCATAACTTGAATTCTGTGATGTAATTGTGCTTCATGTTGAATGATAATGTGGAATGGGAAAAGATATTTTCTATACATTCAGATTCCTAACAAAATAAGACAATACTCAAGTTAGCTCCAATCCTGACATCTATAACTAGTCATGTAGTCAGAGCTGGTTGGTATTGATGCCACTCTCTTCTGCTGCCTATTAGAGATCTCTTTCCCTTTAAGAAGCACTTCTACTTGCGCCTTTTACCAGGCAGGGTGACACGCTCCTTGATTTTGCTAATGGGCCGGGCTATTAGCAGGCTTGCTTTGATTGGATGGTTATCACTCTCCATCCACTTCATTCACAGGGAATAGTAATAAGGAGAGATGCCCTAGGCAGTCATTATATTCCAGGCACCCTCTTCCTTACTGCCACTCTGGTGTAGTTTAACTTTGCAGTTACATGACAGCAACTCTGACCACCTTGTCTCTGCTGCCACTTGGCCTATGCTCTTTTAAATTCAGCTACTTCCACTGCATTTTGAGTTTGTCTGTGTGAGTGGCTATGCTTCCCACTGGCCTATAGAAAACAGCAACCGCAGAGCTCCCACAGCCCCAATGTCCATTTCCACACAGGCTCCCTGGATTTCTGTCTTCATTAACTAGGCGATATGAACTGTTCTCTGAAATGAAGCATACTTTATGGGCTGCTTTATTTTACCTCACCTTGAAGGGTCTGCTGGGACTTAAACACAGTTATTGGTCTAGAGGAAAAGAGGGAGGGTGAAGGGTGGCTTCTGAGGAGAAGCAGCATGGTCTTACTTGGCTCTGCCTCCCATGAGGTCATTACAGTGCCCTGAGGCAACCTAGGGTTAATCCACTGAAAGGTGGAAGGAAATGTACTATTGCTTGAGAAAGACTTCATCTACTGGCAAAGAAAACGCATCACAATTCAGGGACCCAGTGTCCCCTGCCTCATTGCAGCGGTCCCATTTCCACTCTCAGACTCCTACGGCTTTCTAGCCACTGTTCACACTTTATCAGAAAGGCAGGGGTTCTGTTTGCATTGTACTGCAGCCAGCTGCAAGACGATTTTGAAGTTTTATTTACAGCAATCTCAGACCCGTGGATTCAGAAGAGAAGGGTCTCTTTAAGGGAACAGAAGAGGTTTTCAGGACACATATGCAACACTTGAACTGGGGATATAGTCCCTGAATTTGCTCATTTCTTTTTCCACTCTGTATAGTGTCATTAGGAATAAGCAGATAATATTTATATTCTCATTAGCTTAACAGAAAAGAGAAAGTATGAAATACAGTCAAAGACCCTCTTTGTAGACATTTGATGAAGAGTCTATGGTGATCTGTGCACCACTATTACCAGCTGGTGCCAGGGACTGTTCCTATTCTCTCTTTACCATTGAAATGCATTCATTAGCATTTTTAAGTCTAATCAGATTAGAGAGCCAATTCTACAAACCCCAAAATTTAGTTAGAAAATCTGTATGTAAAATTATATTCTTCTAGAGTTATCCTCAATGTGGAAACCTGTATTAGTCCGAATTCTCAGGAGACACAAAAGCATATATAGATATATCAGCATATCTATGTCTGTGTCTACATCTACATCCATTGAGATAAAATAGACAATAGATATATGATGAGAGATAGATGATGAGAAATAGATAGATATAAGTAGATAATAGTTTTTTTTAAATATTGTATTTATTTTTATTTTATGTGTATGAGTATATTGCCTGCATGTGTAAACATGCACCTGTGTCAAACAACACCCAAAGAGTCAGAAGAGGGCGTTGGATTCCCCTGGAACTGGAGTTACTGATGGTTATTAGCTGCCATGTGGATGCTGGGAATGGAACCCAGGCCCTCTGCAAGAGCAGCCAGTGCTCTTAACTGCTGAGCCATCTCTCTGGCCTCGATAGATAATACTTGTAACTGTCAACTTGACATTGGAACACCTGGGAATGGAGTCTCAATGGAAGATTGTCTAGAGGAGGTTGGCATGTGAGAATGTCTGTTGGCAACTGTCTTAATTATGTTAATTGAAGTGGGAGCACCCACTCACTATGGGTGAGTGGTGGCCTGGCT